AAACAGAGGCACTGGTGTAGCTCTGTTGCCTTCAGCAAGGTTATGACCACAGTGGCTGCAGCTGCAGCGCATTTCAAGCAATGATACCCCCAAAAAATCGAGTCTGAGGGTTTTACTTGAGGTTGCTGGTTGTGGGTTCCTGCTGGGTCTGTGAAATGCCTCATGAAGGAGGTGTGATGTGGTCTTATTTCTCTCTGCTGAGCCACAGAAGTCATCGTGGGTATGCACAGTTTTGTTGTGAAAAACCTGTCTGTGAAGCAGGGGGAGCTTTTACCACCCTGCAACAGCAAACCCCATCCTGTGGATATCACCAGTGTTGCTCGTGGATCTTTTCAGAGTCCCATGATAAGGCCCAAGGGTGGCTGTTTCTGTTGACTGTTAATAAAGCTGGGACACCCCAAAAAATCTGCTAAAAATTTGCTTGTTTGTCTCACGCTTGTTTTCTTCCTGTTTTGCTTTCCTGTTCCCACAAAGGCAAAGCAGAGCCTACTTTATGGAATCCAGTGCTTATTTAGGCTGCCAGAGAGGGGCAGGTTTTGGATTTCTTCACTCTTGGAGATGAGACTTGAACTGCCATTGCAATAGAAAATCCCCCATCCCTGGAAGTGTTCCAGGCCAGGTTGGATGGGGCTTGGAGCAGCCTCGATTAGTGGAAGGTGTCCCTGCCCCTGGCAGAGGGTTTGGAGCTGGATGGGCTTTAAGATCCCTTCCAACCCAAACTTTTCCATGATTCTGTGCAAATACAGACATCTACTTGGACTGTGTTTCAGTGCTGAAGTCTCCTGGTGTCACCGGGAGAGGAAACAGGAGTGCAGTCCCTCCTTGATAGAGCCACGTGGCATGTCGTAGATTTGGTGCATGCAAAGAGGGTAACAACATCAGCTTGTGTGTGACATCTGAAGGTCTACAGAGCAATGATTTCCCAGCAGAAACTGCTTAGGTGGCCAAGAAGGCCAACAGCATCCTGGCTTGTGTCAGCAGTGTGTGGCCAGCAGGGCTATTCTCTTCTCCCAGTGATATTCTGTTCTCCCAAGTAACAAGCACAGGACAGGAGGGAACAGCCTCAAACTGCACCAGGGAAGGTTTAAATTGGATATTAGGAAAAATTTCTTGAATGGAAAGGTTGTCAAGCGCTGCAACAGGCTTCCCAGGGCAGTGGTGGAGTCCCCATCCCTGGGGGGATTTAAGAGTTGTGTGGATGTGGCACTTGGGGACATGGGTTAGTGGTGGCCTTGGCAGTGCTGGGTTAGACTCGGTTATCTTAGAGGGCTTTTCCAACCTAAACTGTTCCATGACACACAGAATAGTTCACAGTGGGCTGGAAATGCACGTGAAACTCTGAATTCCTTCTGACTCTGCTGGGCTTTGCACTTTCAGTCTTTGCTACGTTCAGTCTCTCCTGTTTGTTTTCTTTCAGGCTGCTGCTGAGGCCTTTCAAAGACCCCAAAAGTGCCAATTTAGGAGGGGAAAACGTGACTTCTGTGAAAAGGCTTTCAAGTGAAGCCCAAACCTCCAGCTTGAGCTTCAGCTGTGTGATGCTCACTTTAGTTTTCCATCTTCTGAGACTACCGAGCCTTATGCACAGCCTGCCCACGGGCTCCTGTTGTGCCTCAGCTCCTGAAATCCCACATTTGTGAAGCTTCTGATTTTTTTTTTTTTTCTTTCTTTTTTTTTGGAAGTGTAGCTTCCTCCTTGTGACCACCAAGTGGTGCTCTGCGCTGCACCTTGCAGCAAGGCAAGCTGCTGGCATTTTGGAATGGGGAAGTGTGTGTGTGTGTGGGGGGGGGAGGGTGGTTAAAAAGCTGTTTTCGGATGTAGGAACGAGCCAGAGAGGAGAAGGAAACAAATGAAGAGCCTTTTTCCTTCCCCCTCGCAGCGGTGTTGCTGCAGGGATCACATTATTCACAGCTTTCTGCTGTGGCTGGTGGTGATTGATGAATCTTGGTGATGATCAGATGTGATAAGTGGCCTCAGCGCTTTCAATTTGGGTGTTGAGCTCTGCTGCCTGCGAGGCTTTGGAGACACGGAGATGGCTATCTGTGGCTTCAGCGCCAGATCCTGGCAGGTGGCTGGGATTTGGCTCGCTAAAAATCATAAGAAGCTTCTAAAATCCTTGTCCCAGAGTAGTTTTCCCGAGATAATCTGATGCCTGTTCTCTCTCGGCTGCTTTTTCCCCCCCAACCTGAGGAAAGCCTCTCTTCATGTCCCTCTCCTCTGCTGTTCTAGATGTTAAATTTTGGGAATGTTTGTAGCTGTGTTGCTCTCAGCAGGGGCAGGAGACCTGCATTAACCTGTCTTTGCAGGTTTCCTGTGGGCACTCTCCAGGTGCCATTCTCAGCTTTCCAGCTGGATGTTTTATATGAAAAACACGCAGTTTGACAGAGAAAATTTGTATGTGGATTCAAAGTGATGGGCACACTGTAAGACAGAAACTGCCTGTAAAATGTAATGGGAATTTAAGGGGCTAACTACATCCCTGTAAGCTCCATTAGATGCTCTGTGTGGTGTAATTGTGTGCAGGAATGATTTTTTCCAGGTCCCAGAAGCCAGGAGATAGCAGGATGATGCAGCTAAATCCAAACAGCAGCTCATTTGTATGAAATACAGGACTGGAATTGAAAGGTGGCAAGTGGGGTTGTCTTGTCTGGTGAGCTGAGGAAAACATGTAGTGTTTGAAAGCAAATCCTTGATATAACCTTTCAATCATCAGCCTGGATCAGCAATAATGTGGCAGCAGGACCAGGGCAGTGACTGTCACCCTGTGCTGAGCACTGGTGAGGCCAAACCTCAAATCCTGGGGTCAGTTTTGGGCCCCTCACGACAAGAAAGACATTGAGGGGCTGGAGCGAGTCCAGAGAAGGGCAGTGGAGCTGGGGAAGGGTCTGGAGCACAAATCTGATGAGGAGCAGCTGAGGGAGCTGGGGGAGCTCAACCTGGAGAAAAGGAGGTTCAGGGGGGACCTTCTCCCTCTCTACAGCTCCCTGACAGGAGTGGGGAGCCAGGTGGGGGTCGGGCTCTGCTCCCAAGGAACAAGGGACAGGGCAACAAGAAATGGCCTCAAGTTGTGCCAGGGGAGGTTTAGATAGGATATTAGGAAGAATTTATTCACTGAAAGGGTGGTCAGGGACTGGAACAGGCTGCCCCCAGCAGTGGTGGAGCCACCATCCCTGGAAGTGTTCAAAAAGCATGTGCATGTGGTATTTAGGAAGGTGTTTTATGGGTGAACATGAATGTGGTGCTGGGCTAACTGTTGGGCTCAGTGATCCTGGAGATCTTTTCCAACCTTAACGATTTTACCATTCCCCAAGTTCCCCAGTTTGTTTCTCTTGTGCTCTGTGGAACAGCTGTGCTGGAGTGAGTGCCAATCCCATCCTTCAGCAGAGAGGAGGGGAGTGGGGCGTCACCTGCTTTCCTTGCAGCAGGAAGGATTTGTGCAGCCCCTCAGGTGTCCTCCCTCAGCCGCTCCATCTCACTGCAGTGTCTGTAACCTGTGTGAGGTACAACTCCAGCAGAAATAAAGGGATATCTCGGCAACAAACGGGGATTTGGATGGACTGCTGGTTTTTAACAGACCCTCAGCTGAAGCATCAGCCCAGGTGCAGATGGGCTGTCCCAGCCTGAGCACATCAGGAGGGAATTTTCTACAGGGCTAAGCAGAGCTTCGTGCAAATTAGATAAAGTGCTAAATGCTATGTTTTGGTTTCCAGCTTTGACAAACTAACCGTAAGAAATTCAAAGCATGTCATTGTTGCAGATATTATCTTTTCCTGGTGGGTGGCTCCATTAGGAGCTATTCAGTAGCTCTGATGCAAATTCTGGCTTAAGAAGTCCTCAGGACTTTGGTAACTAAAAGCTGGGGAGAGAAAGTGTGGGGAGACTGGCTCTGTGTGTGCCCTGCTCTGGTCTTTCTTTAGCACCTGTGGCCAGCTGTGGTTGGAAATAGGGTGTGGACAGAAATGGGCTTGGTTTGATCCAGCACAGTCCTAGAATTTTAGATGCTAGCTGGGAAATATGGCTTAAATACTTGTCTGTGTATGTTGACAGCACAGACAGTTTTGGAATGGATGGGTGTCTGCTGTGGTGGAGAATTCATGGGATGACAGAACGGTTTGGATTGAAAGGCACCTTGAAGATCATTTAGTTCCACCTTCCCCTAAATCCACAGGGATTTCCTCTGTGGCACATTTATCTGCTCTTCCATGAGGTGTTGGCTGTGCTGCCTTCTTTCCTGTGCTTTCCAAAGCCAGGTTGGATGGGGCTTGGAGCAACCTGGGATAGTGGAAGGTGTCCCTGCCCATGACAGAGGGTGGAACTGGATAGTCTTTAAGGTCCCTTCCAGTGCAAACCACTCTGGGATTCTGGGTGTTAAGCCTTCCCTTTGTCTGATGTAAATGTGCTGTGACAGGAGTGGTGCTATAAACCAGCTGTGGATCCTGCTGAGGATCCATCGCTGCTGTTCTCCCACATCCAAGAGCCCACCTGCCAGCACACCTCAAAGCCAAGTGCCTTTTCTGGAGGAGGGACCCTACCAGGGAGACTGGGCTGGAAAGCAGAGCCCTTTCCAAGAGCTGGCAAAGGCTTAATAAAAGATAAAAGTAGAACCAACTTATTGCTGCCTCCAAGACTGGAAATCGGGGAAATAGCTCTCCCTTGAGCTGAAATGAGTGAAGCAGAGAGCTCTGTAGCTGCAGATGCTCAGGTGTTGTTCACGTGCACGTGCTTGTTGGTGCTCTGCTATGAGGAAGCAGAAAATCAGCGTATTTCCCACTAACCTGACAGTCTGAGACAACGTCTCATTGTTACCCAGCAGCTTCCAATGGTGAATAGCTCCTCCAAACTGACCCCTGTGGGTGTCTTTCCTGTTGAAAAATGAGCACAAGCTCGTTCAGCTGCTCTGCCTTTGGAGGAGCGGCATCAGCTTGGGGCTCACCTCTAGGGATCTGTGAACCTGCTGTCTCCTGGCATCTTTCCTGATGTTTCTTTTCTGTCTCCCTGGGCAGAGGGTGAAGAAGAGGAAGAGGATGAAGAGGAGGAGGAGGAAGAAGAAGAGGAGGAAGAGGAAGATGAGGAGGACAAAGACCTGGATCTGATGGATGAAAGCATGGAGGGCGACACGGAGCTGCCGGGTTTCACACTCCCAGGGGAGACCTCCCAGGATCCCATAGCTGGCCTGGAAAACCCTGTGGCCCAGCTGGCTGGGGTGTCCTACCAGGTTCCTGACACCATCGAGTGGGAGCAGCAGAACCAGGGTCTGGGTAAGAGAAAAATCCCCTTCTCCTTTTACCCTTCCAGGGGTCGTGTCTCCTGCTCTGCACTCTGCATAAGACAGTCCCTCGTGCCAGGGAGTCCCAGGGGTTGGCTCTCAAGCTAAACACAAAGCTGGTTCATTTTTGGAGAAACCCCATCCACCAGTGAACAACTGGTTGAACTGGGATGAGTCCCAGGCAGCGTGACCTGAGCTGGCATTTTGGGGGGAATGTGAATACTCCAAACCTGCTCCTTCGTTCCCAGGGCTTAGTGTTGTCTTGCTCCAAGGGTGGACAAATAAACAACTTCTCAGGTGAGGTTCCTGGGAAAATTTCAGTTCCTAGAACTAATTTATTCCACCTAGGAATCAGTGTTTACATGTTAAATCCATGCAATGCAGTTCAAAGCTGGTGTGGGACAAGGTAGAGTTTGGAAAGGAACTTGCTCAGCTTGGCTTAGGACCAAGGAATATTTTCCCAGCATACTCAATTCCCAAGCCAGGCCCCATCACCAGCAGTAGGAACTTCCCAGGTGAGTTTGTGGGAGCTGAACCACATCTCTAGAGAGGGTCTTTGTGTCTCACTGTTAGAGTATTAGCTGTTCTGAGAAGCTCATCAGCTAAAGAAACCCCCAAACCCTTTCACCCTTGGTGTATCACGTGTGCCTGTATGATGTCTGTCACTTCCCCTGAATGTTTAATTCTGATTTAACCTGGTGGTTCTCCCCCTGTGATGCTGTTTTCCAGCCTGCTTTAGTTTGCTTGGCTTCCTTTGAACTGAATCAAAGTGTGCTTCAAGAACTCCGTGGGAGGGTTGGCCTTTGAGTGCAGGTTGAGTTTGCACCAGGTCTGATACTTCCCTGTCCCACTAAATCTTGCTTGAAAAAATCCCCTGTTGAGTGGTTGCCATGTCAGATCTGTTTCAGGTGTCGTGTTATCCCACCAGGCTGCACAGGAGCTGTGTGGGGGCAGTAATTCCAAGTATTTAAGGGTTTCTGGCTGGCTTTGGCAAGCTGGGTGAAAGAGGTGCATGGCAGTGCTCAGAGGGGAGGTGTGTGAGGAGCAGGGTTAGGCTGGGAGTTGCATCAGCAGCTTCGTGTTCTGTTCTCGCTCACTTCCTTGGTGCAGAGACTTTCTCTTGAGAGAGAACAAGACAGGAGCAGCATATTTTCTGCACTGAGCTCTGTTAGCAGTGGTGAGAAGGTTGCATTAAAAGCCGTTAACCACCTAAAGCTCTTTGCCTGGTTCAGGACCACACCAGGATGGGTGTCTTAGTAGAGCTTTGCCTCTCAGTCCAATCCTGGTTAAGGGTGCCAGGGCTTTGCAGTGTGTTTTGAGAGAGGCAGCATTTTGCCAAACACAAGGTGTGTCTCCCCCCGACCACCAGCCATCCCACTGTGCAGCGTGGAGGAGGATGGCACTGATACCTCTTCAGGGATCTTGATAAATTTCACCATCTCAACTGGGGTGTCATCTGGCTTGGAGGGTTGTGACAGGAGTCATGTTCCCAGGACAGGGTGCAGACAGTGGGTCAGAGGGTGTCTGGATACTGCTGGAGATGCTGTTGTGTGTGATGAACTGTTGCCATGAGCTTTGGGGTTGTGGAGGAGGTTGTCCTGTCCGCAGCTGATGCAGATCTGAACTGGGGTCGTGGCTGCGTTTCCAGGTGCTGGAGGAAGAGCAGCTTTCAGGGTAGGAGATGCCTGGTTTGGATTAGAAAGGACTTAAAAACCATGTCATTCCAACCCCCTGCCATGGGCAGGGACACCTTCCACCAGACCAGGTTGCTCCAAGCTCCGTCCAACCTGGCCTGGAACACTTCCAGGGATGGGGCAGCCACAGCTTCTCTGGGCAACCTGTGCCAGGGCCTCACCACCCTCCCAGGCAAAAATTTCTTCCTAAAATCTAATCTATCTCTGCCCTCTGTCAGTTTAAAGTCATTCTCCCTTGTCCTGTCACTCCAGGCCCTTGTCCCAAGTCCCTCTCCAGCTCTCTTGGAGCCCCTTTAGGCACTGGAAGGGGCTCTGAGGTCTCCCTTGCCCAGGTGCAGACCTTGCTGGAGGATGCTCTTTGCAGTTTCTCCTCCACAGATCTGCTCCTGAACGTGCAGCTCCGGCTCAGTTTCTGCTGTTTGATATTTCATCATCCTGCAGCCTACATCCTCCACCACCTTCCCTCTTCCTCAGACCTTGGAGAGGCCATCCTTCCAAAATGTTAAGACGTGGAATAAGTTGAGGATTCTTCTCAGGCTGTGGCTGAGCTGAGTTCATCCTTAGGACTTAGGTGGGACTTCTGTGCAGTGGTGGTGGGGACACAGTGGGATCAGTCTCTCTGTGACTCACTCCTCTTATTCCACCAGGTAAACACTTCTGTAAGGAAATATTTGTTCATTTTCTGTCTAGATGACCTCAGATGGCTCTGTGATTCTGCTCCGTTCCCCATCTCCAGTGGGCAGAATGCCCACTGGGAAATTATTTACGTTTTAGAGGCACAAAGAAAATAGAACAAGATAGGGGAGTTTGGAACTAAACCATCTTTAAGGTCCCTTCCAACCCAAGCCATTCCATGGTTCCGTGGCTCTGTGATTCTGGGAAAACTTAAGTGTGCCTGAGCTCACATGGATTGTTCTGCTGGAGCACCTGGAGAGACCAAACACCCAGTGCAGAGCTTGTAGAGCTTTAGATCTCCTGGATGGGTGCACAGGCTACTTCTCTTTGAAACCCTTTTTTCTCTAAGTGATTTTCATCTAAAGGTGAAAATTCCTCTTTGGAATCAGTTGGCTGTTATTTTAAGGCAGCTTTGTAACCACTGGACATCTCCAGATGCAGCCCCAGGATATGCTCCTGCCTGCTTCAGCCTTGGTGCATCCCAGGGAAGAGCTCTCTGGGGGTCTCTTCCTTCCCCAGGGAGTGCTGAGCTGTGAGGAGTTTCCCATACTGTGTGAGTGAAACGTGGTTTAGGAGGGGAAGTTGTCCTGCTTCACCTGGGGTACAGCACAGGAAAGAGAGAACTGGAATAAAGATAATGGTACCCAGCAGAGTACAGGGTGAGGGTACAGCAGCCAAGCACCAAACTTTCACAGCTGACATTTTCCATTTTTAAAACACTCTGCACCTGTGTCTTCCTCCTGGGGATGCATCTGTCCCCCAGCCTTCACAATTGTGACATTTTAACGCCGAAACCTCTAGTACAGGGGAGCCCAGAAGTGTTGGAGTAGCTGTCCTCAGGTCACTTATTATTGAGCTTGCTTGGTCTGATGGCTGACACGCTGCAGATCCCCAGAGAACGAGGAACTTGATCCACAAAACAGCTTGGCAGAACAAGAGACAGTTCAGATTTTTGTAGTGGACAGTGAGAAAGTGCTGGAGAAACAGAATCATTAAAGCTGTCAGTTCTGGGCAGTCAGATGGTCCTACATTAACTCCAGCTGAGCAAAAGCAATTTATAAGCACCAGTAACAAGACTGTCAGTTTTACAGCCCATCAGCTGACTCTCTAACCAGCAATGTTGAGACAGAAAGTAAGGCAGAAAATGAGAGAATCTGTGCCTTTTATAAAATAGGAGCCCTTCTGGTGGCCTGCAGCTCTGGGGAAGGAAGGTCTGAATATGATTTGGGATCTCTTCTGGTGCCCTGTTCAGATGCTTTGCCTCCAGAGGTTGCCAGTGAAGGACACAGCAGTATACTTTGAGACCTCTCTGCTTTCTGGGTGAGGTGACTTTAACCTCTCTGTACTCGTTTCTTGGTTTCTGTGTGGGTGATGTGTGGTAGGAAAACACTAAACACTTGGAGAAACATCAGAGGGGCAGGAAGACCAGGTTGGATGGGGCTTGGAGCAGCCTGGTCTAAGGGGAAGGTGTCCCTGCCCATGGCAGGGGTTTTGGAACGAGATGGTTTTTAAGATCCCTTCCAAGCTGAGCCATTCTGTGATTCTATTATTCTCTGAATTTTGAGCTTTTGAGGAATAAATAAAACCCCCTGTTTCTTCCCTGCCACCTCTTTTGTGATGGTTTGTGCATTACCAGGAGAACTGCAGTTGGTTTATACGGGTTCAAATCTAATGAACAGTTCCTGGTCCTTTAGTTACTCCTGGTGAATCTTAAAGTAGATTGTCCTTATTGTACCCCACCATGGAAATCAAACCCCTTTACTTCTGTTGGGGGTGACTTCTGTGACCGTGCTCTTCTCCCAGTTCTCAAGTGCCTGTAAGTGTTCTTAATTTAATGACCATGAGCCAAGATGAAACCGTCCCCAGGCTTCCAAGCTGTTTGTTGATGCCTTAGTGCTTGCATCATCCATGTCCCAGGGTGAACAATTCCTGGTGACAGCAGGAGGTCTGGGGCAATTTACTAAGCCTTTAATTGTACTGCTTTGGGACGTGCAGTAGTTTACTTCGTGCATTTCAAATCCGTGGAGTGGTTTGGAGTGACAGTGACATTTTCATCTTGAGGCAGTACAGAAATGTGATGTTTGGCTCAGGTTGCCAAAGCAAAGCTTGTTATGGTGGGCTTTGCTTTTTAAGATGTGGAATGGAACTACCAGTTGCTTATCTTTGGCCACCAATAACAGGAGACAGCAGCAGTAAAGAGAAGAGAGACTGATTTAAATCATAAACCTTAACAGAAGAAACTCCATTTTTACTCTCAAAATCTTTTATGGGCAAAGAGGAGCCGCTCCTCATATATTACATATATATATGCCAAGTAATTTATTCCTAATGTAACTGAAATCTTTAGAGTCCTTGTTTCTGTGGGTCCTTAGCTTGATGGTTTGTGGTGGCTCAACAACATCTGGAGTCCTTGGCCAGGAGGAGTACGAGGTTCACTTTGATGTTCTTTTTTTTCTCAATCTTGGGTCCATTTGATATAATTTTTGTCTGTTTGCTGATGTGATTTTGCACCTTGCTCTGCAGTTCCATATTACATCTGAATTTGCTATCTGCTGCTGGATTTTGGGTATGTCAGATATGATTTTTTTCTTTTTTTGTTCTCTTTTTAACCCTAAACCCATTT